GTAGTATTCCACAGTGTGTAAATATCAAATTTAATTAAGCATTTTCCACTGGTGGGCATTCAGGTTGTTCCCTTGAGTTGCTATTGTAAATGGTGCTGAAATGAACATGGAGGCAGGTGCATATATCTGGTATGGCTCTTACATCTTTAGGATCTATACCAAGTAAAGGATTTGCTGAGTCATATGGTATATACTCAATCTGGGGGGAAGAGCCATCCTGCTTCCTATAGTGGCTGTTCTGTTTACAATCCCACCTGCAGTGTGTGAATGACCCAGTCTCTCAGGAAGCACCCTCTCCAACCTTTGTTGTCCTCTGTTGTTGTTGTTTTATGTATTGTTAACTTTGCTAGCCATAGTGGAGGGAGTGGTTCCTGATTTTGATTTGCATCTCTCACGTGGCCAATGGTCATGAGCATTTCTTCATAGGCTTGCTGGTCACATGAATGAAGTCTTCTTCCTCAATCTCTGCTCATATTTTCTTCTCATTTTCAATTGGATTGTTTGATTGAAATTCTGACGTCTTCTATAAAGTTTGAAGATTAGTCCCTTGACCAGTATAATCACTGCATTTTTTTTCCTTGTCTGTGGGTTCTCTTTTTATTCTTTTGATGAAATATTTTGATATTAACGCTAATGTTTAGGAGATACCAGTGACCTATTTTGTCTTCTGCTTTATCTGTTTTGCATGATGTTTGAGGTTGTGCTTATGCTAAATTAGGACCACTATGTCTGTCCCTCAGAAGTAGATCGCCAGCCCTTTCATTGGAGGTGCTTCACTGTAGGTCAACCTGGAACCTCTTCATTTGTGGCTGAGTCCTTACCATCTGTAGCACCCAGCTTCTTGAATTAGATTAGTTACAGCGATTGTAGATAATGCTTAATAAATGCTGCAAGCAGTGCTTTTAAAGCAATGCTCTTCTCAGACCAATGTGGACTCCAGAGAGGTTATTCAGGAGCGAGAGGTGGGATCTGTGCCTCTTACATAAGTACGGCAGAGCAGCTCAGCTCTTTCTCAGTCGTGAAGATTGGGGTGCTGGTGAATTACATGAAAAGGATGCTTGCTGATCAATAGAGATGTCACTCTAAGTCAGTGAGTTCTAAGTGGTAACTTGTGCTTGTGCCCGTCTATTCTTTTATGCTCCCACAAATAAATCCAAACCCATTGTCATCAAGTTAATGCCAACTCCGAGTGACTGATGTAGGGTGTCTCAGCTTGTCAATCTTTACAGAAGCAGACGGCCACATCTTTTTCTCCCACGGAGCGGCTGGTGGGTTAGAACCATTGTCCTTGTGGTTAACAGTCTAAAACTTGCCCAGGAGCAAAGCAAAATGTCCCTCTGAAGCCAAAACATCATTGCGACCAAAAAAAGTCTGTTTCAAAGATAACAAAGTGACATTTATTGGAGTAGACGTCATTTAAATGGATGTTTGTGGGGATTAAATTATCGGTTGATTGTGTAACATCTCACTTTTCATATTTACGTATGTGGTTCAATAATGGGTCAGCCATTAATCCTAATGCATAGTTTGTCTACAGTTTGGACCTTATGTGGAGTTTTATGGTATCAAAATCTGATTGATATTAGCTTATATGCAATAATAACATTAAAATGAAACAAATTATATAGATGTCTTTTCAATGATGTCTTAATAGAATTGTTTATCAGATAGGGTTTAAGTTTTATAGGAGGGGGAAACTCTGTGTCTTGAGAGATAATATATACTGAGATGAATATGGTGCCAGAAGTTTCTTAAGCTGTTAGTGAATCATAGTATTTTGAGGCTGAATTTTCTGTACACTACTTTATACAAACAATTCTCTGAGGCTTAAAAACTGTGAATATTGACCGTCTTAAGTTGATGTAAGCAAGAAAGCACAGCTATGATTACATGTACACCTCAACCTGAGTCTGCACGGCAATGAATACCTTGCCCATTGGGATCGTTTTAATGTGGCCTATCTCTTTGGAAAACTGTACTTATAAAGAAATAGTTAGCTGATATTAAGGTGCAAAAATGAAGTAATAGTAAATTTTTGCCGATTTTAAATAGAGAAATCTGTTAGCTTGTATGCCCTCTAAATTTTAAATATATTCTGCTAAAACTTTCATGTTCAGAAATCTGAGAAAATAAAAGGATTAATCACCGTTCAGAAGCAGAGCTTGATAAAGGCATCATTATGCAATTCAGCCGTTTGCACGGTGAAGCTGCTATAGGAGAAAGGTTTCAGGGATGACCGAAAGCCTGTTTTTTATTGACTTACATAAGTACTTTATCTTTTGAGCTCTATAAAAATTTGAACTCTATCTGGCCAAAGGTCCTGGGTTATCTTATTTTTCTGACTAGAGTACTCACATCAAAAGAATTAATTGGATGGTAAAGAATGGTAAAGGTATGTTTGATGTGAGCTAGAACTGCCTCTGAACGACAGGGGTAATTTCTTTTTCAGAATCATTTCAAAGGTATCACCAATCATTCTTCTCTCAGCACATTGCATATCCACTGGCTATGAGCCCGGAAGAATAAGGCTATGGGTAATTGAGGTATTCCCAAGCTGAGAAACCCAGCCCTTACCCCTGTACCCATGACCATGTTGGCTTCCATTTAGACAAATAAGATATGTCTCTCCAGGAAATAGTCATAAGTAGTGTCTGAGCAAGCTCTCTGAATGGCAAAGGAAACTCAGCTAATGGATAGGTAGTTTACAAGGCTCAAATATCAGTAAAAAGAGAATAGCTGCAGATGTTTTGCTGAAAGAGGGTATTGAACCACCAGGAAGCTGTAATCCCTGGAAGTGGTCAAGCGGAAGGCGCATGTTCTCTCTCAGCTCCATTGACTGCGAGGGCTGATGAGCCTGAGGACACACTTCTGAGTTTGTTTCATACTGACTTCTCGAAAGAGGTCCCCAGCCTTAGAACCTGTTGATCAGTTATTCAAGTCAGTTGGCGATTTTACATTAGACTCTAGAGGCTGAATCTGCTGTGAGTATTTAAAAGACATGTCACTTAGTGCAGGTAGGGTCTGAATAAAGGGGAAGCAGACTAGGACAGGGGCAGTGCTAAAGTGATATCATCTTAGCCAGAGTTAGCTCCAGCATGACCCTGTGGGGAGTCTAGAGCACAGAGGGGACCACACAGTTGTTCCCACTTGGAGCAAAGATCGAGTTTTGTACTCTGTTACTGTTGGGCAGGAAGGACTAGTGGCACAATGGTTTAGTGGCCGGCTTCTAACCCAAAGGTAAGTCATTTAAAGCCATCCCTGACTCAGGAGGAAAGGTGTGTCCCATCTTCTGTAAAGATGTATCGTCTTGGGAAACCCTGGGGAACCATTTTTCTCTGCCGTGCAAGGTTGCTATGAGTTGAAATCAACTTGAAGCCAACAGGTTTGGTTGGTGTTGGTCAGTGACTGGCCACAGAAAGGTCAGCATTTCCTGTCCAGGAGTGCTTGTGTGACTAAAGGCTGTTCTTCAAAGAAAGGCAATGGTAAGCTGAGAGCTATTATTAAGAGCAGCTGGAGGACGGGTGTCCAGGCCCCAAGCTAAAGGAGTCTCCTCCTTACGCAACATCGGGAGCCACCTGTTAGAAGAGCAGCACAGACATGATAGCAGTAAATGCGACAGAAGAAAATTGGAAAGTTAGCCTGTGCCCTTGAGGGTAACTAACATAGCGAGGAATATTCCATCGACAGCTCCACAGCCTACATGGCATTCCCACACATTCTAATAATGGATGGTAATAATTATTATCAAGGAGCCCTTTGCTAGGTAAGTGGGGAACTGCTAACCTTAAGGTTGGTGGCTCAAGCCCACCAGCTTTTAGGAGACACCTGCTCTGTGGAAAAAGCTAAGTCTGTCTGCTCATCTATCTCTGAAAGCCTATGTAGGATCTCTCTGAGTCAGAATCGATTCTGCAGGTTTTATATTGATTATCGAGAGTCAACAAGTCAGAGGAAGAGGAAGCTGTCTATTCTCAGAAAGTTATGATCTGTGAGACTCATAGGGGCAGTTCTACCCTGCTCTACAGGGCCACTATGAGTCAGAAACAACTTCATGGCAGTGAGTGAGTGAGGGGGTGAATGAGAGTCAACAGGACAGATGATAGGGAGCTCTATGACAAGGCTCTACATATAACCTCCTCCCTGAGGGATGGAAAGCGAAGAAGTGGGTGAAGGGTGACATTGGACGGTGTAAGACATGACAAAATAATAATAATTTATAAATTATCAAGGGTTCATGGGGGTGGGGGGGAGCGGGGAAGGAGGGGAAAAATGAGGAGCTGATATCAAGGGCTCAAGTAGAAATCAAATGTTTTGAGAATGATGAGGGAAACAAATGTACAAAAGTGCTTGGGCTTGACACAATGGATGGATGTATGGATTGTGATTAAGAGTTGTCTGAGCCCCTAATAAAATGATTTAAAAAAAAGAACAAGTAGAGGGCATTAACATGTTTATAGGATTTAATTGCTTACATTTCAATCTAGTTATTTAGGGAAAAATAGAGCTTCCTGGGTAAACTGACTCCAATTTTTATGCCGTTAACCAGTAACCATTAGCCATCACTAGAAGCATGAGAAGCTGAGTACCACTAACGTGAAGTACTGTTTGACCAACAAAGTACTTCATGGGATAAAGCATTCTGAGACGTGGGCTATTCTTGTGTCCCCGTTTTCTCTCAGGAGGGTTGATGGGGAAGAAAGACTTCATGGTTTGTTTCTGTTGAACAAATGGGTGATTGTAAGGCTTTACCTCAAACTCAGGAACAGATTCCATCCTTCTCCTTGTCTTTTCAATAACGGCAGCCTCCTGCCCCTCCCTCGTTACCTGTTACTCTGTTAACACCTCATCCGATTTCACTCCTGGATGGTTATTCTCAGACGGCTTCACAGCAACATGTAGCATAATCCCTGTAGACAGAGCCTGTCAAGTGTTCAAAGCTGCTTTTGGTGTGTCAGTGTTCTGTAGGGGAGACAAATGAATGTTTTACTGTTTTTCTTCTGCAGTACCAGAACACTACTATCGACTGGACACTTTTGTCGGTGAAAGAGTGCACGAAATATGGAGGGAAGCTCGTGGGGAACAACTGTGATTTTGTTCCTGATATCTGCCTCATGTCCTTTATCCTCTTCCTGGGCACTTACACCTCTTCCATGGCTCTCAAGAAATTCAAAACGAGTCGTTATTTTCCAACCACAGTAAGTACTACCCGAGTTTTAAATAATTCTCATTGACTGTACACTGTATGGGTAACCATTAACTCTCACCTACTGCCCAGTGAACCTGTAGTGCACCACTTTCCAATATGATTTTGTGCGTTTTAAAAAATAATGCATATGCATATATATTAAACACAACTATAGTCCAATTCCCAAGAAATCTTCCAAGGATCTTACTCACATAATTCTATCATAAATTCTGTCAAAATTCTGTCATAATTCTGACAATTCTGGAAGGAAAAATAGTTGTATTCTCTCTAATAATGCATGAATAAACAAAAACACCTAAATTCAGAGTGCTCAATTACACAGCAAAGAACTCATTTCATACTGATCTAGAATGCTCTTGTTATTGCATTTCTCGTCAGCTTTACTTATGAGTAGTTTAGTAATTGGATTGTGGCCTTTGGGAGCATATTAAAGAATAGGTACAAGTGTGCGAGTGTCATTTGAGCCAAGCTGTCCATCCCATAATGATAAAGCATCAGCATGGACAAACAGATCATTGAGGAAGGTTGCGCAGCCCTCCTGTCTCCCATGAGCATGCCTGGGGGAACTTGAAGTCGAACCTGTGGGGTTTTTTTGAGAGACTACAAGATAAGACCAACATTTTCTTGGTGACATTTTGTTGTTTCATCTGAAGAAGAGGCTGAGATAATCCTTTGCTTTACGATTCTTAGTGTTTAGAGTGTCCATATTTCTTCAGGCATCTTGGCTGTGTCTGATCTATGCCACTGACCTGCGCGGCACGGCTGACATCTCAGGAGCTCAATTCTCAGGTTTTGCGCAGAAGGAGGACGGGAAGAACTTCAGAAGATAATGAGATGTACTTGATGAAACTCTTTTGCTTAGAAGAACATGAATGCATTTGCTTTTAGATAGGGAAAAATGGACTCAGATTCTTCTTCTAAAATAAAAAAAGAGAAGAAGTTGGTGGCTAGGGGGAGGGGTGGTCCAGAGGGCCATTAGTGAAGCATGCTGAACTTTCTGGCTCAAGAAATGAAACTTTGGAGTTGCCATCCTTTCATGGCCCCTGACTGCCAAAGTCTGATACGATTTAGCCATAGGAGGTGGAGAATTTATTGTGCACATGCCAGTTGCAATTTGAGATTGGTAGAATAGTTTCAATACTAAGACTAATAGACAATGTTATCTGTCTCTGTAGAAATTGTTTTCTTTAGTAGTAACTCTCAAATTTAAAGTTGTTCATTATACATAGGAAATTCTTTCTCTTATGAGAGCCCAAGAAATTTGTCAGGCATTGATACATGAGGTTAAGAAAGGCCAGAGCTTGTGGAAGAAGGATTACAATACAATGTTATTTCTTTAAGGAAGATTAGCAGAATAATTTGAGATTGTATGTACTAAATTAGGCACCCCGAGGGAGCAATGATTGGCACTCAGATGCTAACAGAAAGGGTGGTCACTTGAATGGCAAGCTGGTGGGGGAAGTTCTAGTCTGTCAGGCTGCTGTGTGTCAGGAATGATTTGATAGCATGAAACAACACCATGTCAAATCATTTTGTACACAGGGAGCAGATAATGTATATGATTCTTAAGGGCAGGGTGGAAGTGCGTGGGTTTATTCAGCCTGTAGATTCCTCTTACACACTTATTCACTTCATGCTTTCAGCTTATTAATAAGACCACACATACATTGTACACAAATTCATAATGACACCTTTGTGCTATCTCATTTGCCCAAATAGCTTTCCATTTAAGCTAGCATTGAAGAGGTTTTGTTCTAAGGTAGGGATAGACGAGCCAATCTTTTATTTCTGTGAAGATAATCAAGGTTAACTCCCTACTTGCTCCCCTGGACCGACAACTTAGATGAAACCAGCATGACACCACGGACTTTAGGGTGGTGCGGAGATAATCCAGGAGGCTGCAAAAGCAGACACCTACACTTTATCCTGGATTATGGGCGATGGTAAAAAAAAGTCTTTAATTGGTAGGGGGCAATAAGGAATTCGATTTTTCTGAAAAGGGGACAGTAGGTCAAATAAGTCTGAGGACCTAGCTCTAAAACGATGGATGTGAATCCTGACAGCAGTGCACCTTGCCGTGTATGATGTACTCTTCTCCTCTAGTTTGCACAGCCCTCCCACTCCCAGACAGTAGAGTTAGTCAAACGAGACCATAAACTTGTTGAAAACTATGATAATTCTCTTTTAGTCCTCATGTCAACTTACAACATTGGATGCAGACTAGAGGTACTCAATTTTTCTTCAAATTATTGCATAATTTATTCATGAAGAGGGGGGAATCAGACACTTTTATGCTTTATTGATGGAAATGTGACTTGATTTAACCTCTGAAAAAATTAATTTAGCAGTATTTATCAAACTTAAAAATCCACAGATCCTTTAACCCCAAAATTAAACTTCTAGTGATTTGTGCTCAAATTTATCTGCACCTATATACAATACCAGCACTGTTATTGTCATTGCTTACTGTAGTAACAGACTGATACAATACAGCCCCAGGAGGCTGGTAAATCAACTTAAGTGTAGGTTGTCAGTGTTTGTTGACTCGTGGAAAACTGATCAAGTAGAGGTGAGTGCTAAATGCTGTGCAAAGAGTCTCGTGTAGGATGCAGGAGCACCAGCACTGTCGTTAACTAGCTGTGACTCCTGTGACAGCTAACTCTATATATTTTAGTTACCTCACCTGTAAAGGGAATGTGTGGCTAGATGACGATTAATATCCTTTGAATGCTATTTTCAAAGGCGATCATAGGGTTTAGGGAAATCACAATAGAGTGCGCTACCCTCAGGGGGATTAACAGTGAATTTGCCATGGTAGGGGAGTGGTTTATGTGCTGCACTGCCGACCACAAGATCAGCAGTGGAAACCCACCAGGGATTCTGCAGGAGAAAGATGAGGTTTTCTGTTCCTGTAAATATTTACAGCTTCAGAAACCCAAAGGAACATTTCTAGTCTGCCCTGATAGGATCACAGGAGTCAGCGTGGACTCGAGGGAAGTGAATTTTGTTTGCATTTAAGGCCCAAAGGAAAGGGAAGCGAAGAGAGAAGGCTTCCTGGAGAAGTGTGATGGCTTCGTGAGCTCCTGCTGGCACAGCACAAATATTCCCTAGGGTCGGCTTTAAAGAATGGAACATTTGTTTCCTACAGGTTTGGAGACTAAGACCAAATCAGGGTTTGGGCCGCGGCCATTTCTTTCGTGTTGGTAACCAGGGCCTCCTCTTGTTCCCTGGCTTGTAGAGGAGCTCTCTGCCCCTTAGGTGCTGGTCTCTGTGTTTAATCTACTCTTCTCTACAGGACACATCTTACACTGGTGTCGGCTCAGCATAACATGAGATGTTATGCAGAGGTCATTACCTGACACCCACATACATGTTATTTTTGATAGTTGCTTTGGAGTCCACTCTGCCTCATGATGCTCCATGTGTTTCCTGAAGCTTAAAGTCTGGGACCTCTCTGAAGCCAGTGACCAGGCTTGTTTTTTCAGTGCCTTTGGGTGGGCTGAAACCACATCGCTTTGGCTAGCACTTGAGCGCTTCACTAGTTGCATCACTCATGAACCCCTTGGTAGGATTCCAAAAGATACTTTGGAAGACACAATTCATAATATGTGGTAACCTTGTATTGAGAGATTCAGCCAGTTAGAGACAACCTTCAAGGAGAGAGTCAGAGAATCAATATGTTGATCTTAATATCTTTCCTGGCTGCCAACTGGCCAAGCAGAAGTAGAAACCAGGGAGTCGGGACCTCATTGTAGACCTTAAATTATAGGTCAGCATCCTACCACAGGAAGGGTGAAGGAGGTCTGGTGTCAAATGGAAGATTTACATGGCCCATTTAGCTTTTTACTTTTTTTCTTGATCAAATTAAATTTGTCAGCGACTCCTTGATTTTTGTTCAATAATCTGAGTCCTTACGCTACCTTTGCTTAGACCAGGTACATAATATTTCCAAAGGAGTTTAAACATTTTGTTTCGGCCACACACACACATATTCTCCTTTGTTCTATTACTCAACTTTGAGACAGAATGGAAGGAAAGGCCTCTTAGTGATTGATTACCAAACTCTTCTTGCCTGTGCTTGCCGAACCCTCTTTACATGCGTGTGAAAGTTGGACATTGAAGACGGGAGACCACAGAAGCATTGATGCCTTTGAATGACAGTGCTGGTGAAGAATACTGAAAGTAGCATAGACAGCCCAAAAAACCCACAAATCCATCTTGGAAGAAGGACAGGCAGAATGCTCCTTAGAAGCACGGACAGCAAGACGTTCTATGACGTACTTTGGACACGTTATCCTCAGAGACCCGTCCCCGGAAAAGGCCGTCCTGCTTGGTAAAGCAGAGGGCTAGAGGAAAAGAAGAGCTCCAGCAGGATGGATTGACAGAGGCTGCAACAATGGGCACGGACATAAGAACAAGGGTGAAGAGGATGCAGGAGCGTCACTCTTTCTTTCTGTTGCACGTTGAGTCACTGTGAGTCCGAACCCACTTGACAGCACCAGCCAGCACCAGAACCTCTGTAGAACCCTGCTCAGCCACTTCACTAGGACTACTTCTGCCCTGCCCCATGTCGGAATTTAAAAAAAAATCATTTTATTGGGGGCTTATACAACTCTTATCACAATCCATCCATTGTGTCAAGCACATTTGTACATTTGTTGCCATCATCATTCTCAAAACATTTGCTTTCTGCTTGAGCCCTTGGTATCAGTTCCTCATTTCCCCCCCTCTCCCTGCTCCCCCTCCCTCATGAACCCTTGATAATTTATAAATTATTATTATTTTGTCATATCTTAGCCACTCCCTTCACCCACTTTTCTGTTGTCCATCCCCAATACTTTCTAGAGACTCCCATTGCCACTTTAGAAGCCACAGCCAATAAATTTCCCAGCCCACTTTATTTTAGAGCTCCTCAAATCTCTTTAACTCTGGAACTTATATCCCTGAAATTCCACATGGCCTGTAAAAGCACATTTCATCATGTTGAAT